GCTGATTTTTGATAATATTCGAATGCCTTATGTTCATCCTTTTCAACTCCAAATCCATTTCGATAACACCAGCCAACGTTATATATTCCATCCATATAGCCCACTCAGCATATTTTTGATAATATTCGAATGCCTTATGTTTATCCTTTTCAACTCCAAATCCATTTCGATAACACCAGCCAACGTTATATATTCCATCCACATAGCTCATCTCAGCAGATTTTTGATAATATTCGAATGCCTTATGTTCATCTTTTTCAACTCCGTCACCATATTCATAACAACAGCCAACATTATACGTCCCCCTTGCATGGCCCATTTCGGCTGATTTTTGATAATATTCGAATGCCTTATATCTATCCTTTTTAACACCAATTTCATGGAAATAGCAATCGCCGACTAGACACACACCGTCTTTATCACCCATCTCAGCAGATTTTTTATAATATTCGAATGCCTTATGTTCGTCTTTTTCAACACATCTACCAAAGTGGCAACAACTTGCAAGAATATTCTGCGTAGTAGAATTTAATTTATTCTTTAAGCACCAGTTAATAATTTCCTCCGGTTTTTGTTGCTTTTTTGTTAAATATTGAAAAATCAAGTCAAGAATTAAATTGGTATCTTTTCCCTTTACCCTTTCTTCGACATACAGGTTACATATATTTTTTGCAATTTCATCAAGAAAATTTTGCGACTTATCATTGTCGCATGAAGTTTTAACGATTATTTTTTTATTCGAAGTATCCATGTCAGTACTTTTCCGAGTAAAAAAGCTATGCTATGTGAACAGTAACTGCGCTGTGTAATGAATGGTATTTAAGTAGCTACGGAGAATAAAATCCGACTTGCACAGTGTAACATTTTTGCCTTTTATGGTATCTTTGAACTTGCGGTAAAGGTGAAAAAATTCCACAAGTGAAAATGCCTAATTTTTGTATTTAATTAACTAACATTAAAATATTTTCGGGACGGCAATCAAATTAGCGAAAGATAACGTGAAAAACTGGTTTTTCGTGCAATTATTAATTAACGATATGCATATAATCTATGACTTTTGATGACCTTTCGTAATGAAGTCAAAATAAAAGAACTTTCTAAAAATAAACGACGTCAAATAATTAATGCTGTGTGCCGTTGTAGAAATCTTAAATTCGCATTGCGACGTCAAATGGTTAATAAAGTAAAGCATTACGAGAACTTAGTAGAAACAAAACCTTCACACCAAAAAGGGAAAGCCATTATTATTAACCAAATGTGAGATATGAATTTATTATACAGTATATTTCAATAAAGACCATAAAATCATATTTAAATTTATTAAGGTTTCAAAACAGATGTTTTATAAAAAAGATTATGATGTTCCGATTAATAAAATTTTTTTGTTTATTATAAGAATTATTTTGAATAATAAAACAGGCATTTATAATAAACTTTTTTTAAAATAATATTACACTATTTGAAATAACAAATATTTGCTTTGAAGTATATGGATAATTGGACCGGAGCATAGCGAAGGACTATATACTTCTATGCATGTTAATGATGCTGGTTAATCGAGTATATTGTATATTTAAATTTAAATAATGGGTTCCATTTTATAGTAGTTAAAATTAAGTAGTATGTTAGAATTAAATATCTTATAAAATTTTATAGCAAGGCGCAAAAAAAAAAAAAAAAAAAAAAAAAAAAGCAATTATTTTATCTTATTTTTAAATGATCGTATAATTAAAAAATTTAAAAATTTTCATAGTTTATGAATTATCAGATAATTTAAAAAAATTTATAGTTTATAAATTACTAAATGATTTAAAAAAATCTATAGTTTATAAATTATCAAATAATTGACTGCGGGTTAAAAAAAAAAAAATAAATTATCAAATAATTGATTGCGGGTTAAAAAAAAAAAAATAAATTATCAAATAATTGACTGCGGGTTAAAAAAAAAAAAAAAATAAATTATCAAATAATTGACTGCGGGTTAAAAAAAAAAATAAATTATCAAATAATTGACTGCGGGTTAAAAAAAAAAAAAATAAATTATCAAATAATTGACTGCGGGTTAAAAAAAAAAATAATTTATCAAATAATTTAAAAAATTCTTAGTTTATAAATTATCAAATAATTTAAAAAAATTTATAGGCTATAAATTATTAAATAATTTTAAAAAATTTATAGATTATAAATCATTAAATAATTTAAACCAATTTTAAAAAATTTCATAGTTTATATATTATTAAATAATTTAAAAAATTTCATAGTTTATTAAATTATTGAATCATCAAATAATTAAAAAAAAATTCATAGTTTATAAATTATTAAATAATTTAATAAAAATTCATAGTTTATAAATTATTAAATTATTAAAAAATCGAAAAAAAACCATGGTTTATAAATTATTAAATAATTTAAAAAATTAGATAAATAAATTTATTTAATATTGTTTTAATCTTATACTGTATATTAATATTTTATTTTTAGACATCATGCCTAGACTATAATACCTTAAAGGAGCGATTTAAAAAGTATATTTATTAATAAATTGCACCGTCACTGTCATTTAATGACAAGTGTCCAATGGAATGAACCTTGCGCTAATAATAATCTTGATACAATCAGGTTACCTACATAAGGAAGACCTGAGATAAGAAATTCATACATCGATATCATGGCAAAATTTTTAGTAATGTCGAACCAATTATGCGGGTCGACATTTGAGGCTGTAATACATGAAATACATGAATAGCTTATTCAGCTTCGGATGGTATAAATTAACTTTTGTACTCGAAACCTTTTCCCAAATCTAGGTTTGGCTCAAAATCAAGTAATGATTATGTAAGCAAAGGTTATTCTCTTTGCCTTTATATAATCAATTTTAATTATGCGACGTAATTCCCTTAGATAATGAGTCCTCCATATATTTTTTTCACACGTGCGAATCACTGCCCAATTGAGAGCACCAATAATTGGTTCGAGGATCTTTTTTTTTTCTTCACGCATAAGTTTGAATGCGAATTAAATATCTTTTGTAGAATAGAGGTTGTATCACCATCGCCAATCCTGTTTCCAATAATAAAACTTAAATTAATTTTTTTTCCGAAAGTTTACATACAAAAGGGGACAGTGCGCACGGTCTGGAACGGTCTGGTTGATTCTTTTTTTCATTTCTGGCTCAAAGTAATCGAAGAATGCAAAAGAAAAAATAAACAGTAACAACCGTACACATCAGAAATTTGTTAGAGAAATTAGGATCTATAGGCTAGGTAAATAAATGACGATTCGAAATGCATTTCCGTTAACAAATCCGAAAAAATTTACGCAATAATCTACAATTGAAATTTTACGTTCTTTATCATACCTGTCATTAGAAAAAAAAGTTTTATTTAGTTCGGCTTGTCACCAGTATGCCAATTCAGGTGGTTAGCATGAATAATTCATTTGGCTGGTCCTCAATTACCATGGAACCAATGAACTCGTGGTCCTCTTCCATGAAGGCAACTGTGGTAGGCTTTCGATGAATGTCAATTGTACGGGAGCTCGCAAGACGTGTGAATTGTTTTAATCTTCTTTATTATAAATAAATAATTATGTATATATATATATTAGGATTTGTGTCTAAATTCCGAATTTCCTGTCGCGGTATATTATGGCCCTGAATTAATTTTAATATGTAATCAAGGTAAGGTAAATTGGATTTCACGTGATAACCATCATGAACTGACCCGAGAATATTTTATCCTTCACTTATCTCAGTGTGGAGAACAATATTAAAAACGGAACATCCAACAGGTAATCATCAATTCATTTTAAAACACGTTATCCAAAATTTCCTGTTCCAATTACCGATCTGACGATCCATTTTGCGTTAGATCGTCTCGTCAATGAAGGTCCTACTGATGCTTATATTATTTTACAGCCATTGTTAGAGGAGTATGTGCATCCATTTCATTTTCATCTTTATAACTTAAAATTGGGGATTTACTATCTGCGAATTCATAAATTAGGGTTCTTTCCACCGGCAAAAATCAATTTAAAAACGATACTCCCCTACTTGTGCAGCGAGAAGGCGATATCGAAGAATGTTATTTCTCGTTTACCTTGAGTCCCATATTTGAAGAGGATAAAACTGTTGGCGGCGTGTTTGTCACTGCACGGGAAACGACTCAACAAGTTTTGGCTGCCAGAAGATTGAAAACTTTAAGCGAACTAGGAAATCAAGCATTCAGTAAGTATTATGCTAATCAGATGACCCAAATACTGTATGTGCCTCATTTATAACTCCATAATTTCACAATTTTTTAGGAGCAAAATCATTGGAGAGCGCTTGCCATCTTATAACTTCCACCTTAATTGATAATAACGAAGATATTACCTTCACCTTGTTCTATATTATTGATGATCATCCGGATGTTCATGGTAAAGTTGCGCGTCTGGCGGCCACAACTTTCGACGAAGGTATTAAGACGGTGAAAAACGATGGGAATGCAATTGAAGAACTGGTTTTTGTTGAAGGAGAGTCAAAAAGGGAACTACCGGATTTTTTATTGGAAACTTTTAATGTGATAAAAATCACCAAAACTGTTGAGACGGAAATGAATTGCAACGCATCTGGGGTTCGGGAAGCATCACCTACATCAGACACAAATTATTTTAAACCATCTTCATGGCCAATTAATAAAGTGGCAAGGTCAAAGTCGCATTTAGTTGTTACTCTGAATAATGGTGCCCGGGCAATCCTTCTGCCGGTTTATACGTCCTCTTCGAGAGAGACAGTATTAACCTCCATAATTATTTGTGGCTTAAATCGACGTCGCCCTCTTAATAAGGAATACATGGCATTCTTGCAGGTTCGTGTCGTAATTTTTTTCATTGTTCTGTCGGTACATAGTCAATTGATTGAACTTGATTTATGATTACAACGCGCGTAAAGCTTGTTACCGGCCAAGTGAGTTTGAGCTTGACACACGGTATATCATTCGAAGCGGTTAAAAAAGTAGAAGAGATAGATCGCAAAAAAAAGTTGCTCATTCAAAATTTCAATCACGAGTTGAGAAGTGCGTATTAAAAGTTTAGTTCTATATATGCACTACTGCTAGCTAAATTATTTTTGCTCAATCTGCAGCGCCGTTAACATTAATACTTTCACCGCTTGAAGAAATGATCGACGCTTGCCCTTCAGAATCGCCTATCCATTCCTATTTACAGATTCTCAACCGTAACGCTTGTCGATTACTTAACGTAGTGAATAATCTATTACCGGTTAGTGTTCAACGAAACAGATTATTTTTTTGCAGATACAACTTTCTCACTTTTCCCCCGTAATTCCCTGCAGTTTTCGCACATCAATACAGGTGAATTGGAGCCTCGATTCAGGGAGGATGATATTGTGAAGTGCACTCTCGAATTGGCCTCAACTTTTAAGAGCCTAGCAAAACTATTAAAGCTAGATTATTTCATCGAGATTCCAAGTCACGATGAACTTTATGGTAAATTGAAATCAAAGGTATTCATAGATAAGGGAATATATGAAAAGATTCTGCTTAATTTATGTGAGTTATCTTGAACCGTTGTAAGATTTATTACTATACCATAAAGACACCGTACAATACCGTATAATAACCATCACCTTCACTGATATTATTATCATTTCAGTCTCAAACGCGTTTAACCATACTCGGACCGGTAGTGTCACGGTACGTTTGTATCCCGATCACCAGGATGAAAGAGAGGCGATTATATTAGAGGTCTCGTACACAGGTATATGTTTAATCATAATGAGTCGATTTAACACCGCCCGTGGTCTTATCCATGAATCACATTTATTGAATTTTGAAATTTCATAATAAAGGCACTAGAATTCCGGAAAACGATATCTCAAATCTATTTCAACGACTTTATCGCGTTAAATCAAGTCACTCCCGTAATTACGAAGGTGCCGGTGGCATAGGTCTTGCACTCATAAAAGAACTAGTGACAAAACATTATGGCGAAATCTTCGTACAATCCGATGTGAAAAAAGGAACCACCTTTCGTCTATTGTTTCCAACCGGTTGGGAACATCTGCCCCGAAAACAAATTCATTTTACGAGCGACAACGAGTTTGATGTGAATCGGGATTTCTATATTGAGGAGTTGGAACGATTAACACAAACCGATTCCGACCATTCTGCCGACATCGCTTCGATTAACAATGACACTGACACCATAAGCTCGGGTTATTTGGATTCTTTAAC